CACAGCGATCCACCTGCCTCTGCCTCCTGAGTGCTGGGATTAAAGGTGCGCGCCACCAATGCCTGGCCGACACTGGACCTTTTAAGATTCTTATTCCATAAAATCCCAGTTCACACTGCTAATGCCTCCAGGTGGGGAACCAGAGAAGTCACAGTGGCAGTGAGTGCAGCTGGAGGTGGTTCATAACCTTGCCGTGTTTCCTGGTAACTGCCTAGTCATTCAGGTAAGTAGCAGATCCCTGACTCCATTCCCCATCACAGCCAGTGTACTGTCAGCATTCCCTGCAAGCTGGCTCTCCTTTCCCTCCTTGTCTTACAGTCGAGACGCAGTATGGCACTGTATTCAGCTGACAGTAGTGGCATCTTGCTGTGGGCCTTTGGCCAGTGAACTGTTCCTGTTTTTGATCCCTGAACCCCTTGTAGCTTCACCAGTGTTCAGTTGACACGGACATCTCAGTCAAGGCTCCCCCGGAATGCAGCACCATCACGCACCCTTCTCGGACTCCTTGTGGGTGTCTGAGCTCAGCACAGTGTGTGGCACACAGGGGAGCTTCCTTAACCCAGCAACTTAGGGGGAAGGTTCTCTGGCTTCTCATTTCACCCTGGGCTCCCAAAGCAAAAGGTTTCCCATGGCAACATCCATCCTAGCAGAGTGTCAGGTCTGAAGATGACACTAGAAAGCATCAGGGCAGAGCCCAGCTTTGGAGTTACTTAGATCTGGGCTCCAATCCCCGTCCTGTCCTTTGTTAGGTGTCACTTTGGATGTGCTGTCCTGTCCTGGTTGTCTTGTCTGTAAGATGGGGTAATGAACACTCTTAGAGTGACAAGACAGTCACATATAAAAGACTCTGGAATAGTCGCTGGTGTGCCGCCAGTCCTCAGAGACCATAGTAACCGGTCACCACAGGGTGCTGCTAGTGCTCAGGTAAGGTGGGACTGTGGAGGAGAAGGTGAAAAACAGTATCAGAGGGCAAGGCCTGGTTCCAGCTGTCTCTCCCTATTCCTTGGTGCGAGTCGCATGACTGGCACTCTGTAAACTTCTGAAGTGTGTATACAGGGAGAGTAGAGGCCACTGGACAGGCACCTTGGGCCAGTGCTCCTCCAGCCCGCACCTTTTACATGGGCTGACCCCATATATTGTCCCTATTTCTGTCCCAACCAGAAGACTCAAGGCTCTCTAGTGGTTAGAGCTCAGGAAGAGGGTGGCAAAGACTCAACCTAAGAGGGCACCCTCAGCTGTAGATGAGCAGGACTAATGTCACGTCGTGCCTCCCTTCCTCAGTAACACTCCGCTGTTCCACATCGGTTCACCTGTTTGCTTTTGATCATTACAATATGGATATTCAGGATCCCCCCACCTCCCCTCTGCAGCGAAAAGATGCAGGGTGAGACCTCAGCCTCATTCCCAAGCTTCCTCACCTAGCTGGAGTCGGGCTGTTCTCCCGCATCGTGCCGTCCCTCTGTCTGTCCTGGTCCCCCACATTTCAGGGCATTTCTGGTCATTTACTCATTGATTCTGGCGTCAGTGCTCTTGAAGTTGGAAGGACATTGCATTGTTTTGCCAGTGAAGAAGATGAGAAAAGCAGATCACTGCGTCACATGATAAACAGCA